TTTCCCATTTTCTATTATCTTATGTTTTTCAGTCTTCTGGACTCCTCTCTTCCTGTTGTCTTATCATTTTCCTTTGACATCTTTTACTGAACGCCCTTGCCAGGACATTGGATGGGGAAATGGAGAGAATTCCTAATGGATTTGCATTTCTTATGACCTTCCTGGTTTTGTAGGCAAAAGGGGACCCTCCAGTCATCTCAGGCAGAGACCAATGGTCCTGGTCAATGCCCTGCCTTTGAGAGTGGTTTGAACAGCTAGGGCCAGGAAGGTGACTCAATTTCACACATGTCCCTGATCCCCCACCTGGCTCCCTGTGGAGAGGTGGTAGAGTGTGACTGCTTTCTCCCTTTCTAAGGAATGCATAGGGAATTCAAAGAAAAAGCACTACAGAGAGGAAGGAGAAAGTTTAAGGGGAAGTTCTCATGGGCTTTGGAATGACTTGGTTGGGCAAAAAGTGGATTTTGAAAGAATCCAGGATCTAACAAATTTCAGACAGACCCAACTTGGAGTTTGCCTGAATCATGAACGACTTCATGTGATTGTTTTAATCTATATATCTCATATACGGTAAGTCTGTCCCTCTCAAATATAGCAAGTTGCCACCTTCCTGGTGAATGCCTTTTATTTCTAAACATTGATTTTGTTGTTGTTATTTTTAAATTGCTTTGCTTAGGTTCCAATTTCTAATACTCCTCAAAAATTATAATTACTCTAGATCATAATAAATATTACTATAGAAATAAATCATTTTCTATCGTATCCTTTTCTTTGGGAATACTATATTGTTGCCTATATTATGGCAAGGGAGATACAAACCAGATATTAATAAAAAGTTGTGTTGCATGATGCATTCTAAACTGAGAACCACTTTCTGTATCCGAACAAAGAAATTACACTTAATACACATATTACCCTGAAAATCATCTGGCTGTATAATTTTTTCCCACAGAAATCACTAAAATGGCTTATATTGATTAACATTATCAAGTCACCTTTCATATTTGAAACTGCATGAATTCAACATGCTAGAAGATACAGTTATACAAAGAATGTAACCAAAACTAAGATAGGAAATAAAACCTCTGTTAACAATTTTTCAAAATAGGAAACTCTTGTAGAAATGTATTGTTCTTTTTTTTTTGTAACTAAAATTACACTGATTTAAATATTCTCTATTAACTAACCTCTTGGATCCATTGTGCTCTTGTTTAAATTAACTTTCTTTAAAAGTTAACTCCCAAACACTGTTTAATTAACTTAGCTAAAGTTTTGATTTGATCTCAAGTCATTTGAAACTAGACAGAGTGAAAAAAGATGTGGGTAGTTGGCAGCAGATCCCAATAAAAATATGGCATTTGGCAGAGTATGCCTGCCTTGTTTTGCTTTGCTTTTCTCTTTATGGATGTGGCCTATTTTTGAAATGCTATGATTTAAATTCAGGGATCAAATGACAAGTCTGACAAAACAGAACTGACTTCAACAGAGGTTCTGTGGGGGAAAAATGGAAGCGTTCCAGGAACTAAAGGAAGTAACCTCAATTTCACCTGGAAACATTAGTGTCTCGGGGGCAGGAGATTTGGGCTATATATAAAGAGTGAAGGAAAGTGGCCAAGATGCTGGGCCAAACCTGCATCCAGGAATAGAGCGGCATCAAAGAGCTGACAACAGTAACTGTTGTTTCCACCATGGCCCTGTAAGTAGCAATCAGAGAGCCTGAAATGTGGGAAGATTGGAAAGTTCTTTCCTGTGATGCCTTGGATTGTGGCAATTGTCTTCTCACTGGGTTCTGTAGCTCCCTTCTCTTCTCCGATGCTTGGCGCACATCGTGGACGGATTAAGTGTTTGCAAAAACTCTGTGCCGTCCTCCTGCTCAAGACTCCAGTTCCTGTTTGCCCACAAGATTGGGTTAAAACTCCTTCTGCTGGCATGATGCTCCCTCCACCCAGTTATTTACTTTTCTAACCTCTTCTTTGGCTGTTCCTCAACATGAAAGGTTTACTCCAGTCCTACTCTTCAAAATCTAGGTTAACACCTATCTTTTCCATATTTCTAACTCCAACTGGCACTGAGCCCTTACTTTAAAATATTTTGTACCTCTTTGTTTTGCATCTTTTGGCAAGATTGTTTTATTGTTAGTTACTTTGTTGAGAGTAACTATATCTAGAAATACCCATATATAATCACTATGTATGCACACATATAAGGTGTAAATATACACACAAATATATAGAGAATATATCTATATGGTGATTATCTTTCCTTAGTGAGTCATAAAGTATACAATATTTCTCCACAGGAAGTACGTTGAAACTGAGGCTGAATTTCTAATCCTGTATTGCATATATTTATTATCTATTCATTCTATTATATTGTATCATATTATATTATATTATATGAAGATGACATGTGAAAGAAAGTGATGAACCGGGAGAATCAGGAAAACTAAATTCTAGTCTCAGCTTTGCCACTAGCAGGTAAATCATCCTATCCTCTCCTCATAGCTCCAACCAGGAGATCAATCTCCTTTTTGAGCATCAAGAGGTCATAAAGGAAAAGTATAACTGGATGTGTTTATGGTAACCGTAAATAGTAAAATTATGATTTCATGTCCCATCCAGTGGACATGAGTATCTGGCACCCTTTGATCAGTCAAAGGGAGATGGTGCATTTTTCAGGTGAGTTGCTATTATTTTGGTACAATAGATTAGACCCCTGAGTACAGAGAGGTTGTATGACATTTTTGAGGTTGCCCAGTGTAACGAAGACCAAGTCAGGCTCAGCTTGATTTTTGCTCTCCTGCCTGTGAAATCTTCTCTCCCAGGATGATGGGCCTCTCTGCTTTAGAGGTGGTGTTGAATGGCTTATGATCCTTAACTCAGTTTATTTGCTCTGTAATTTTTTGGAAAAATCTCTCCAGATCCCTTATTTCTCCTTTTGTAGGATGAACATAAACATACTTGTCTGTGAAAGTCTTTGAGCGTGTTGATTTAAAGTCAACACAATTACTGTTTTTATTGAGTGCACACGAGGTGCCTGCGTATGTTAGGCTATTTCTTAAACACATCCTGTGAAATGGCTCTAACAGCCCCATTTAATAGATGAGGAAACTATGGCTGGGATTTAATTCCAGGTCGGTCTGCTGTCATATGTCAGTCTCCCTGCTGTGGAAGAAAAAGAATGAGATCCCAGGTCAGTAAAAATCAACATTGCCTCCAGATTTCAGTTTAACTGGTACTGTTGTTTATCATTTCCTTTTATTTAATCTTTGGCGACTGACTGGTGACTAGTAGTGAAGTTGGCATGCCTGGGTTTCTTTTTGCCTTGGGCCAGCTATCCTCTGGGGAAGGCGCTAAACAACAGTATTAAAGAGTAGAGAAATAGCCACAGAGGATATCAGGAAAGGAAGGTGCAACAAAGGATGGGTTTTTTTTTTTTAAGATTTTATTTATTTGACAGAGAGAGAGAGAGCTCAAGCAGGGGGACCTGCAGAGGGAAAGGGAGAAGTAGGCTCCCCGCTGAGCAGGGAGCCTGATGTGGGGCTCCATCCCAGGACCCTGGGATTATGACTTCAGCCGAAGGCAGATGCTTAACTGACTGAGCCACCCAGGTGCCCAAAGGATGGATGTTTTAAAGACTGGATCATTAGTCTCTGAATAACTACTCATAGTCCATACCTCCTGCTATTTCTTTTTTTTTTTTTTTCTTAGATTTCATTTATTTATTTGACAGAGACACAGCAAGAGAGGGAACACAAGCAGGGGGAGTGGGAGAGGGAGAAGCAGGCTCCCCGCTGAGCAGGGAGCCCGATGCAGGGCTCGATGCGGGGCTCGATCCCAGGACCCTGGGATCATGACCTGAGCCGAAGGCAGAGGCTTAACGACTGAGCCACCCAGGCACCCCCATACCTCCTGCTATTTCATTTCATTTCCATATCCTATTTTCATTTTGGAAAAGGTTAGATAATTAATTTTTTCATTTTCTGACTAAAAATAGCTGTTCTTTTCTCATAAGTATAGAGTATAAGTATAGACTTAATAGATAGCTACATAGAAGCTATTACTAATACTTGAAATTTTGTGCTTTGGTTTTTAATAATAATTGCAAATAATTGAAAATGTTTCAGACATTTACTCAGCAGGTATATAGTCCTGCATTAAAAAAAAAAGTGTTTATGGGGACTCATATATTTTGTACAGTTCTTAAGGGAAACAGCTTTTGACTTTCTGATCATCATCTTCCTGTGATAGAGTGAACTTCTTCCCAAATAAAGAGTGATCTATAATCAGGAAGCACTTGATGGCACCCTTTCAGCAGATCACACAGCAGGACCCACTTGAATAGAGCTAACAAGTTTGGTCCATTAAACCTAGTGGCTCGAACAAGTTTTTATTATCCTTTTGTAAAAATGCAAGCGCTGCCTCATACAAAAACCAGTTGTTCCCTAATGAAGTGTTTCAGCATGTTCATATAAGTTGATGGCTTCATATGGCTAGATTATTACTGCATCAACTCTTAGCTTCTAATAACATGCTCCTGTCTTGCTTTAATGACATACTGTGCTCAGAATACTCAACTATGGGCAGATGTTTAAGAATACTATTTTTTCTTCTTGGCTATTCATTAATTCCCAACACCCACTCCTGATTAGGATGCAAGATATATTCTTTCAGATGTGGAGTCTTTAATTACCCAATCTAACCAAAAAAAAGACAGGCAGCATGCCAGGAATTTGTATCGAAATGCTGGAGTGTCATCGTCTCAGACTTCTTACCATTGACCGTAGGACACAGATGTTAAGTGTTGGCTTCTGTCACTCCACTTATCTTCCAAAGCCAGTGTATTAGTAAAGAACATGCAGCTCCAAGAAAGGGAATGTGAAGTACACTATACATGGTTTTAGCAAAAATCAAATTGGTGGTTTCATTAGGGGATTTGGAGGGGGAGACCCACAACCTCATTGCAAGATGGAGTAGGTACTCTAAACTAGCTGCACTCGCTCCATGAAACCCATGATGGGCTTTACTCTTAAACTAATGGCTTGTCTGATGCCACGAGTAGCCCTTTTTAAAAGTGGGATTAAAGGATTCATTGAATTCAGTTTTGTAAGTGATGAAAATGATACTTTAACACCTGAGTTTTAGATTGCATTATTCTTATTTCCTAAAAACATGGACCCTTGGGGATCAATAGAAAAGCTATTTTTTGGCGGGGGGTACATACATATTTATTACCAAGAACTCTCTCAGAAGTTTGAGTTCTTTTAGGTCTTGACAAAGTGGATCTTCCAGCTTCCTTGTCTTAATTATACAACCTGAACAGTTACTCTTATCTCCCAGGTAACAAATTAACCATCTTGCTCCCCCTAGTGGAGTTGTAACTCTACTTCAAAGTTTGGGAATACTGTATCAATACACATTTGATGCAGTGTCTTATTTTTGAAAACCAGATATTTTCCCATTTTATCTTCAAAGACTGACAATAAAATAAAAAAAAATATTGCATTGGAGGGGCTGGTAGGAGATGTGGGTAGAGAAAGTGGCTTTTGGTGATGAATTTTCAGTTCCTAGTGTTGGCAAGATTAGCTGCATGATTTTTAATGGCTGCTAAATTCCAGGGGCCTTTCTGCTCTGCACTTCTGTCTTAGAGGGATCCAGTGTCATCAGCCTGGCAGACGGTCACCTCTAGAAGGCAGCTGTCAACACTCCTGGAAGAGACGGTGGGGTATTAATAGTTAGTGATGTTGGAAGACAAGGACAGGTCCCATCTGAATATTGAATCCCACTTGTGCCATTGGTCGAGTAGGTCCAGGAAGTATGTTCTGCCTCTGAATCTATTTGAGGGACTGTGCCAATATCCACAGTACATGGCAATCATTTCCAGTTTATACTTGCTAAGCATGCTAAGGGAATTTTCGTAATTGATGCTGAACTTATTGCATACCTCTCTTAAGAATTTCAGTTTCTTTAGGTTATGATAACCTACCAGTGGTTTCATGGTATTGTAATCCCCCCCTTTTTTTTCCTGCCAGTATTTGTCTTTCCCAACTTTGACCCTTGTTATGAGTGTGTATTTATTCAACTTTGTACCCTAATGCACACAGAGCACTAACATTTTGTATATGCCAGCATTGAAGTGTGTGAAACTTCATAAAGAAATACCTGTACATACCAAGGCTTAGGACTCTGTTCGTTTGCAGGTGAGACTTTGCTTCTAAGCCTTATCAAGGTCAAGGCAAACTCTCTAGTAGATATAGTGGTTGTCAAATTAATGGTCAATGGAGTATAAGTACTTGACACTTATGAGCAAGAATATCATAATTAGAATATTCCCCCTTTCTTAAAATCATGTAATGGAGGCAGTATTTAGATGTATCTTTTTTTTTTTTTTTTCCAAATATATATTCTCAGGGTATTTAGGGAAAAATAAAACAGCAAGATTGGATTAAAATCCCAACAAAAAGGAATGCCAAAGTGCTCTTTAGGTATGTTTTATTTGGGAGGGTAGAGAAAAAAAAAACACCCATAATGTGTTTTTTTTTTTTTTAATATTACTTGCTAAAGAGTCACAGTAATTTAGTTCAAGAATTACATCTAAGCAAACACACAGCATCTGTCTAGCAAAGCATGCATCTGTGAAGTTCTGATTTAGAATCCCATGATGCTTGGATTCACAGTTGTGAAGACAGTGACGTTGTCATGGTGGTGACCTGGCCCCACTGGGGCTAGAGGTCTCTATCTAGCAAGACTCTGGGCTTTGGAGAACAGGCACTTTTCTCTTCCCCAGGGAGTGTGAGGGATTTTTGTGTGAATCAATGTGTATCTCTGTGTATACATGCATGAGTGTCGATACAGTTATGAATGTATGGGTGAAAATGCACATACAGGTGTGTATAGATGTGACTGCAGGATTGGGAGAATGGCTTCTTCCCAATGGATGCTGGAAATTCTCTGCATTGACAATAGTCTGTAAAGCAGCTTTTAGCAGAGCTAGGCCCAGAGGTGTTGGGCACGTGTGCACGCCATTCTGGGTGTCGATGAGACCCTTCAAAATAGTCTCAGTGACTGGGCGTGGAGGTATTTGGGAAGCTCCCTGCTGAAGGACTGTGTTGGCATCCTTGTCTGGCAGCCTTGTCAGGGCGGCTCTCCTTGAGAACATTCCAGCCATAGCTTAGAACCCTTGAGAGCTAAAGCAACAGAATATCTTATGTGTTCCTTATGCTCATGAGTGACAAGAGGCTTTGCTTAACTAGCTGTGTTTCCTTGAAGTGACCAACTAGTGACACATGAACTATTGGTCACTTAAAGGGAACTAAAGTTTGAAAAAAATTGTCAAATTCTACATTAGCAGTGTTAAGTTCTCAACTGTTAATTGATCGCTGTTCATTTAACACATAGACCCCAAATGATAAGTCTTGTCAGACTCTGCCCCTGCTTGTCATCTAAGTCCTATGGCTATTGGGTTTGTTGTTTTCTCTTCAGGTTCAAAAAGGCAGAAAAGTACACACAAGCATTTGGTCATGAACAAAGCAGATGGAGGATTATGGAATGGATAAACAAGTTTTCATGTTGTTGTTAAAATCCTGACTTTGTGTCTGATTCTGTTTTTTTTTTTATTTTTATGAAATATGGTCCTTGCCATGGGGCAGATAACCCAGAGACTTGGTTTTAGCAGGTAGTCAGAAGCATGTGGAAGGATCTTCTTGTCTTAAGGCAGATCAACCAGCTGACACCAAACTAGTAGAAAACTTGCTTTCTTTTCAAGACTTCTTTCCAGCTATTTAACTGTTGGCAATTTGAGAAAATATCTTTGAATCATACACCTTGGCAAGAAGGTAAAATTGAGAGTATTTGGGGCAAAAGAAAGATATATCTATCTGTCCACTTGCTAGAAACTTTTGTGGCAGGGGGAAAACTGCAGAAAAATTCCTGGCAGATTGAAATACTTATCTGCAACTTAACATTTTTATTTTTTATTTCATTTATTTGTCTTTAGAGAGAGAGAGAGAGTGGGGGTGGGGGCGCAGAGGGAGAGAGAGAATCTTAAGCGGGTTTGATGCCCAGTGTGGAGCCTGATGGAGGGCTCGATCTCACAACCCTGAGATCGTGACCTGAGCCAAAATTAAGAGTCAGATGCTTAACCGACTGAGCCACCCAGGTGCCCCTGCAACTTAAATTTTTAATATAATGTTTCCTCAAGGAGTCTTATTATATTCTACTGACAGTACTTATATTGGTAGCCGCAAATAACAAGAAACACCATCAGAACCTGTAAGAAAGGCAACAGGAGGATAAAAAAGAGAAAAGAAAATTTATAGGCATAATGAGGACTGGGATTCTCGTGTGGATAGCACTGGGAGACATTGAGGCAGGTGATACTGATGGTTTTACCTTAGGCCAGTATTCCAAGAGTTAAGTGAGCATTTATTAAAAATAGATTCACAAGTCCCCACCCCAGATAGACTAACCCAGAATCTCCAGGGAAGGGATGTTGGAACATTGTTTTAACAAGCATCTTAGGTGATTCTTATGGTCAGACACGTCTGGGAAACTGCTGTCATCTGATTGCTGACTAGAACTGCTGTAAAGGGGGTGCCTGGGTGGTTGGGTCAGTTGAGCGTCTTATTCTTGATTTTGTCTCAGGTCATGATCTCAGGGTCATGAGATTGAGCCCCGCATTGGGCTCCACGCTAGGTGTGGAGCCTACTTAAGATTCTCTCCCTCTGCTCCTCACACTTTATCTCTACTGGAAAAAAAAAAAAAGAAAGAAAGAACTACTGTAAAGTATTTCTAGAAGGTGTGAGTGTGTGTTGTATGTGTAATTGCCGAAGTTTTTAAAGTGAAAAAAAATTGTCAAATTCTACATTAGCGGTGTTAAGCATTTCTTAATAAAAGTATCTGTTATTTGTGTCAGGTTGGACGGTTACAGAGGGTTTTTCCATGTATTATCTCATTTGTTCCTAATAGTAATCCTATGAGGGCTTGAGCAGCAAAGATCATGCTCACCCCCAGATTACACATGGGAAGTGGGCTCAACATGTAGCTGGCAAGTGGTGGAGCTGGCTTTGAACAGAGTTCTTCACCATGTGCAGCAAGCCCAACATCAACCCCAGAGCCTACCACTTTTCCTCTTTTACCCCACACTCTGGTCACCAGGTTGATGGCAACATTTCTAAGATACCAGGTTTTTTGCATGTCCACACCTTTGCACACCGTGATCCCTGTGCTCAGAATGCCTTTCCTTCCCTGTTTGCAAACTCATACTCATTCATTAAAGTGCCTTCCATGAAGCTTTTCTAGATATACTCTTCTCCTCACCCTACCTGCCCTCCAAGCAGAGCTAGTTTCTCTTTCGGCTGTGTTTCCATCACACTTTATAAATCCTTTTACTGTCTTTTGGGTCTTGGGTAATGTGGGTGAGTTCAATAATAATTGCTACTAGTATCCCCCTTCATGATCCCCACCCCACCATTATACCACTTACTGTGTATGGACAGTGGGATGTAATCACTTCGGAAACACTCAGTGCCTTTAGTGTTGGCTATGGGAAGCGTTTGAGAATGATTTCAAGGGCTTTCCAAACATTGACAAAGAAATGTTCAGGAGGCCAGAAACTTGGCCATTAACATTCTCTAGAAGTGGAATTGTCTGGGGGTACCAGGATACATTGTCTAACGAGAGGTCGGGAACAATGGAGACTGTCTGCTTAAAACTGCAGATTTGGTAATTTCTTTTCTTTTTTTTTTTTTTTTAAAGATTTTATTTATTTGAGACAGAGAGAATGAGAGAGAGAGAACACATGAGAGGGGGGAGGGTCAGAGGGAGAAGCAGGCTCCCTGCTGAGCAGGGAGCCCGATGCGGGACTTGATCCAGGGACTCCAGGATCATGACCTGAGCCGAAGGCAGTTGCTTAACCAACTGAGCCACCCAGGCGCCCCAGATTTGGTAATTTCTTTGATGGGAAACTTAAGGGTGCTTCAAGGATGTCTTCAATTATGGGCGATTTTTATGTCATACTCATAGCCCCAGGCTAGATATGACTCTCTGTTATGGCTTTCAAATTGTGTTACAGTTATTTCTTTATGCAAATATTTCCCCCACTAGACCTCTAGTGAGGGTGTGTCTGAGCCACATTCATCTTTGTCTGCCAATTGATAATTGTTGAATAAACTTTTGGGGAACAAATCTTGTAGCCATCTGCATCTGAATACAATCAAATGTATTTAATTATAGTTGTAATTCAAATTCTCCTGTGTTTACAGCCACCACTGGTCCAAGCAATCTTCAGCGGTGATCCAGAGGAGATACGGATGCTCATCCACAAAACAGAAGATGTGAATGCTCTGGTAGGTGATGCTATGTTTTGCCTGCTCAGGCCCTCTTAACCTTTCTGTACCATGGTCCTCTCTGGTGTCTCGTGAAAAATCTCGACTGCTTCTCAGAATTCTGTTTTTAAATCCACAAAATAAAATATATATGGTTAGAATGGAAATCAATCATATATAAATACAGTTATCAAAATATTAAATATCAAATCTGTGATAGAATAATACATGTGCTTCTCTATTAGCACATTTAAATAGCAAGATACGGCAGAAGATCTAATAATGAGCATAACTGAAGAATAGTGATGAGCATGGTCAATATTTTGTGTTATCTGTGACCACGCTAGTGGGGTAGGAGCAAACCTGTGATTTCCGCAGGTGACCAAGTGACAGTTACCGGAGACACTACTGAGATTGGCTGCCTACCTTCACAATGGAAGGAAATGTGAAATTCCCATCAGAAGTTAGTAAAAATAAAGATGTACTATTTTTGCACCTAGAACCTCTACCCTACAGTAGGGGTTGACAAATTGTGGTCTGTCACCTGTTTTTGTACAGGCTACCAGCTAAGAATGGTTTTCATTTTTTTAAATGGCTGGGGAAAAAATGAAAAGAAGAATGATTGACACATGACAATTACATGACATTCAGATTTCAATGTCAATAAATGAAATTCCGTTGGAGCTCAGCCATGGTTCCTTTCCCGCTACAGCAGCCGAGTTGAGTGGTAATTAATGACAGACTGTATGTGGCCCAGAAAGCCAAAGATATTTGCTCTCTGGCCCCTTTGGAGGGAAAGTTTTCTGACCTCGGCCCTAGAGGCTCCATGAACCCGGGACCAGTGGGTGAACTCGGCATCCTGTGTGTAGCCTGGAATCATATGTAATACATGTGTGTGCTTGTGGACATGTGTATTTTCTGTGAACGAGTAAAGGCATTTCATCATATTCTTAAAGGGGTGTATGGCCCCTAGAAGATTAAGAACCCCTGGATCAGGAAGTTCTTGAAATAAACAAACCTGCAATGAAGAAAAGTGAAAAGAGTTAGTCAATAATTTACCCTTTGATAGTTTCCTAGCCCTAGACTGAACAAGCAATTATATGCAGTACACGCTACTAATTCTCTTACTGTAAGTCAATTACCTTAATGCTCTAGTCCTTTGGGGAGAGGAGTTGTCTTTGAAATCTCTAGTGTCAGGTAGAAACAACAGAGAGAGTCAAACACATCAGCAGAAGAAGAGCTTTGCCACAGGGAAATGAATTCTGTCTGAGGTGGGATCTCTCTCCGGTGGGCTGAATGCTTTATCCAGGAGAGTCCTTTCGTGCAGCCTTCGTTCTGTGGCAGAGTGCAGGTTGGTGTGGCTTTTTGAAAAAGCTTTTGGCAGCTTCTCCCCAGCTGACACTGAAAACAATGGGGCAGTGTTTTATGATGTTTTTGCAAAGTAAGCACAGATGAGGCCAGGGACAGACTCCTCGAAAAGGCAGTTGGGCATTTGTCCAGAGCCCGTGGGGCCTGAGCTGGGCTTCTGAGAGGAGCCGAGGCAAGCCGGCTGACCTGCCATCACTGGAATTGGCCTCGCCTATTTTGTGGCTGTAGCCCAAGCCCAGGCAAGCCCAAGGCAAAGTTAGTTATTATCTTTTCCTGCTGATTATGAGCAGACAGAACTTTTGTTCAGTCATACATACTGAGAACGATTGCACTGTCCTCTGAATGGCCTTTATTTCTCCTTAGGAAAGTGACAAACGGGGGGCACCTGGGTGGCTCAGTCGTTAAGCATCTGCCTTCGGCTCAGGTCATGATCTCAGGGTCCTGGGATTGAGCCCTGCATCAGGCTCCCTGCTCAGCGGGGAGTCTGCGTCTCCCTCTCCCTCTGCCTCTCCCCACTGCTCCTACTCTCTCTCTCTCTCTGTCTCAAATGAATAAATAAAAAAAAAAAAAAAAAAAAAGGAAAGTGACAAACGGTTGCTGGCTGGTACAGGTTAGGAAAGCTTAACTTTAGTTGTAACCTAACTGTATTACTGAATCCGATAGGTTAACCATAGTAACACGTAGACCCCAAATGATAATTGCGCAAACATAGGAGAAGCTTAGTTCTCTTGTGAACAGATTAGAGAGGTGGCTCATTTCCACATAGGGTCCCAGGTATCAACATGTAGCTTCTAAGGCCACCGAAGGGCTTCATCTTCAGTCCAGCCAGCCAGAAGGGGAAAGGGAGCAAGGAAGGAGAGCTTAGGAGGATTTTTATGGATCGTCTTGTAAGTGGCATAATCACTTGCACACACAACCCATTGACCAGAACTTAGTCCCACGCCACACCTAACTACAAGGGAGGTTGTGAAATTCATATAGCTGTGTCCCTAAGGATTGGAGAACATGAATAGTTAACAATCTTGGCCACACAAAGTTTTGGTACTGT